AAATAATGCCATTTGCAGCAACATGGATGGACCTGGAGATTGTCATACTAAGTGAAGTAAGTCAGACAGAGAAAGACAAGTATCATATGATACCACTTATATGTAGAATCTAAAAAGATGATACAAGTGAACTTATTTACAAAACAGAAACAGACTCACAAGCCTTCGAAAATAAATTTACGGTTACCAAAGGGGAAAGGTTGGGGGGAGGGATAAATTAGGAGGTTGGGATTAACATATACACACTACTATATATAAAATAGATAATCAGCAAGGACCTACTGTATGGCACAGGGAACTTTATTAAGTATTCTATAATAACCTATATGGGAAAAGAATCTGAAAAAGAGTGGATATATGTATATAAATATGTATAACTGAATCACTTTGCTGTACACCTGAAACACAACATTGTAAATTAACTATACTGCAGTATAAAATAAAAATTAAATTTAAAAAAAGGCCTTAAAAAAAAATCTGCCTGAATCACAGAATTTACTGTGTTCTCACCCACATTCTGTGGGATCCTGCATCCATGTCATTGTTTCCCAACGTGAGGCTTTGCTTGGATTACTTTGTGACCTTCCGTAGCAAACACAAGAGGAATGGGATGGGAAAATAGGCATTATTCACATTTATTGTTTTCTTTATGCGTTTGCTTCATCCACGCAGTTTCTTTTCGACCCTGGGCTCCTTCCCTCAGCCGACACTTCCCTTTGCACTGGCACAGGAGAGATCAGAAAGTGCTAATCCAGAGAGGCAGAGCCTCATCTGCCGTCGTCTGCGCCTACGTTAACCTTGTTAAATGTAAAGCTTTCCTGGTGTACTGGCACTTGCTGTGCATTTGTTGACGGTGATTGTGCTGACATAGGTAGCTGAATGTTCAGCCCTCATCCGTCAGCTGCATCCTGGGCAGGAGTGGTGAGTCACCGGATGACCCTTGCAGCTTCAACCTGGACTGAACTATTTTCCACAGGAATAAACCGTCTCACCGTTTATGATGCCAGGTTGAGAGGAAGCAGCACTGTTCTGAAGCTAAGATGGTTAAATCCCGCCGGCAGATGTGTGCATTCTGGGGTTCCAACACAGGACATGCCTTACGTGGCTTTGAGTAGGCCGTCGATCCTGGGCACTATGATTTTTTTTCCTCTTTCTAGTTCAATTTGAAACTTGCGAACAGTGGTATGGGAGGAACAGCTGATGCAGGTGAGGCCCTTGGAAGGAGGAGGGGGCTTCCACTGGTAGAAATAGCCCCCATTTACTTTCTTTGTAGTTGCTGGCATTAGCATTTGTGCAATGTATCAGATCTTTCATTGGTAAGGGTTCCCAGCATGCTGGATGGTGCATCACAGCAGGCTGTTTGTTTGGTAAGTAATTTAGGTAAAATACCTAGATGCCTTCAGGCTCTAGTTGTTGCTGAGTCCTAGGTGAGATTCAGGTTAACCACCCAGGCTCTTTACGGGGATTTCCAGTAACTGGATTGTATTCTGACTCTGTTGGCTGAATGCTAAGCTGCTATGAACAGAAAGGTTCATTGTTTGATTGCTAAGAGAGGTTTGTTTCATTGACTAAGAGCATGGGACTGCACTGAAGTTTGTGGAGTGAGCTCTTTTCAGGTGTTATTTCTTACCTGGGTTGTTTGAACAAAGGTAAGCATTTCTTTCCC